TGAAGCAGATGGAAGAAGTTTTCCTCGGCGTGTGACCTCGAAGTGAAGGATGTTAAACTGATTGTGCTCCCATTAAGGGGCTCGTTTGTTGTTCACCTGTTTCTAATCGTTACGCTGATGTCTCTAAATGAACACGACGCTCGTTTGTGGGCGCCAAACGACCCCGCAGAGCCGCCTTAATGAGCTGAATGTACAGGAAGGAAATCAAATCTGTCCCCTGGTGCAGGGGAACATTTGCACAGAGATGCATATTTATCTCTCTCTCTCTCTCTCTTTCTGTGTGTGTGTGTGTGTGTGTGTGTGTGTGTGTGTGTGTGTGTGTGTGTGTGTGTGTGTGTGTGTGTGTGTGTGTGTGTGTGTGTGTGTGTGTGTAGCGGTGCTGGTGGCGGTGACGGTGTGGAACCAGAAAGGCAGCCGCAACAAGTTCAGGAAGCGAGGAGTTTATCACATCCCTGCTGAACACGAGAGCTGGGAGGACATCCGAGAAAACATCCTCAACTACAACGAGGAGGGAGGGGGGGAGCAGGACCAGGTACACACACACACACACACACACACACACACACACACACACACACACACACACACACTCTGCCTCTTACATAACTGCTTACTTATCACAGTGTTAACTTTTGAATCTAGAACATTTCATTGACACACAAACAGCTGTGTGGTCACATGAATATAAAAAAGATTTAAATTAATTATTTTGCAGAAATTATTTTAGCAGCTGGTGGCGTTGAGCAGGCGGTGCACCTGTGTGTGTGTGTGTGTACGGTGGGTTACTTTGTTTACAATCAGACGGGGGCGCTAAAGAGCTATTTTAATTAAATGCTGCTAAAGACAATTAAATTAATTTATTTCCAGGATCTTTGATGATCTTGTTATTTAAAGAAACAGGTGAAGACATTGGGCGGTGGTAGACGTCAGCCTCTAGTGGCCAGAATGAGAATTACAACAACAATAGCAAACAGCTAGCTTTTTTTAATTCATAAATGCTCGCTTGGATCACCTCTGACCTCTGACCTCTGACTGCGTCTCTCTGTTTCCCGTCAGAACGGATATGACATCACGGAGCTGAAGCGCCCGCTCTGCTCCAGTCTGTCTCAGTCGTCGTCCTGCACCACCGCCCCGCTCATCAAGTCGTCCCCCGGCTCCCAGGAGGAGGTCCACCCGTCCGGCTCCTCCTGCAGCTCGGGCGCTCCCTACCTCAGCATCCCCCATCACCACCACCACCATCAGCACGCCACGGGCAGCTACGCCGACTCGCCCTACGCTAACTTCACCGCTCCCGTGAGCCGGGACGCCGACCAGAGCGACGTGGGAGGTTACGTGGACGTGTCGTCGGCGTCGCGCTCTCACGTGGACTTTAAGAGCTACGTGGCGAGGATCATCTGGGAGGCGGACAACGACAGCGAGGCGTTCCCGACCGACGCCTATCACGTGTGGTGCGTGGAGGGGTCGGGGTCGTCCGCGGGAAGCCTCAGCTCGCTGGGGTCGGCGGCGTCACGTAGGAACATTAGCTCCGCCCCCTGTGTGGAGGAGGAGGAGGAAGATGAAGGAGGGTTTGCTAACGACCGGCTGTCCCGCTGGGGACCGAAGTTTGAGGCGCTGAGCGAGATGTACGACCGGCCGCAGCTCGCCCTCACCTACAGAGACGCTGTGGACTACATGCAGCGCAGCCACAGCCAAGACCTGCTGCCACATCACCACTAGAGGGCGCCACACAGATAAACAAACAGATTAAAGCAGACGGAGGGGGAGGCAGCGCTGCGTTCACGTCCATCAGACACAAAATAAAAAACAGGAGGAGAGTCCGATCTTCTGAAGAAGAGAGTGAAAATCTTTAAATGAAGGAATATTTCTTTATATTTACAGATTTCTAGAGAAAAAAAAATCTCTTTGCATGAAATGTAACTCTTACTGAATAACAGATTTATTACCAAATACTTTTCCATCATCATCCCTGAATGAATCAGGAATCTGTAGAAACCAAAACCATGAAAATCCTGCAAACAAGGACTTAAAAAAGATCTAAAACAAAGATGTCCTCCTGTCCCTCCTGCAGGAGAGGAAACATGAACCTGACCTAAAGTGAACGCAGAAGCTCCGCCCCCTCCTCTTTTCAGGTCTGAGGTCTGATTGGTGGTTCAGAAGCAGAGAGAGAGAGAGGCTGTGTGGATGTGGAAACATGAGTATTTATTGGACTCCTCTGTCGGCCTCTCACTCTTCTCTATTTCTTTCTTTGTTTTTTGCATTTTGTGGTCGCTGCACTCAGTCTTTGAAAATGTGAATTTCTAGTTGTTTTTGTTTTTTTTAGGACTCTGAGTAAAAGCAATGTCAGACATCAGGCGGCTCATTGGAGGATTTCTTTTCGGGTTCATTTGTGAACAAACGGCCTCGACGTGAGAGACCTCGGCGTTCTGCTCGGAGGTGTTTTAAAGGCTTTATTTGTGATTGTTCACACTTAAATATAAATCAAGTATCTCCTCTGAAAATAACTCTGTGAGTCATGACTGTCTACAATGGGTGTAACACCCGAGTCCCACTGTCTGTGATGTTTTCAGAGTCCTATCTTCACTTTGTTTACATCGCCAGGACGGCCGGCTGACTCCTCCCCTCGTGTATAAAAGTTGTTTAATTGAGGGACTAGAGAAAAGAAGAATAACATACTGTACTCACTGCTTAACTGTGTTTCTAGATCACGCTCATTTCAGGTAAATTTACATGCAGTGTGAAGATACCAGCATAATAAAGATCGCTAGCATTAGCATGCTAACACAACAATGCAGCGCGAGTTGTTTTGGTTTCATGCTGGTGCTCAAGGGCGACATCTGCTGGATCAAAAAATCACATATAAAGCCTTTAAAGTTGAGTTTTCATCTTTTTATCTCCGACCCGACACTTATCCATTTCTCACCTCGGCACAGGATTCAAAACACGCTCACAAAAAAAACTCTCCCGAGGACGAATGTTTCTTCGTCCTTCTGGTGAAACGTCTTTTTTCGCTGCTGTCAGTGTTTCACTTCTGGTTTCTAACCTGTTGCACTAAAAAGAGATGAAGCCTTCTGAGCCGACCAGGTGAAACACTTTGTCCCCGCTCAGTGTTTCTAAAAGTGTAAAATAAGATTTGATAGTTTTCAGAAGATTATTTTTATACTCCTCTGTAGAAAAAGTTCAGAAGCTGCTCTCTTCTCCTCAACGTGCAGGACGGCGTGCGTCGTCCTGTTTCTGTCCTCGTTGATCAGCCCGTGTGTTTGGACGTCTGCAGAGTTCAGAAGAACACTTTTTGTTTTCAATCAGATGTGGAGCGAGTCGTGACGCTAACAAGTTCACTGCAGATCACTGAGGCTGAATTTGTGTTTTATGACGTTACTGTGAAGGAATCATCTGCAGGTTCAGACGTGAGAGCGCTCATGATCATCCACTTCCCATGTTTCTGTAACACTAATATGTGTCCCTAGTATGTGTGCTCAAACAGGCCGTTTGGAGATTTTCCCTTCATGACATCACAAAGGGCAGTAGCCCCTCCCCCAGATGGGTGACACTCCCACAGCTAGGTGTTTGTTCTGCCCTCTGAGTCTGCCTTCTCACCGTAAACAATAGGACATGGAGTGAGAAAGACCGAGTACACCCAAGCCCTTCCAGAGAGGGGGCGTGGTCAGACACAGCTCATTTACATATTTAAAGGTACAGACACAGAAACAGCCTGTTCTGAGCAGGGCTGAAATAGAGGGGTTTATAGACATGATCAAATACAGGATCAGGTCTTAAGAGTTGACAAAAGGTCTGAATTAAGAACAAAAGTCTCGCAACACACGGTTTGTTTTTGCTGCATCTGAACCTGCAGATCAATTTCAGCTTAAATTTGTTTTCTTTTCATCGCTCAAATCCCTAAAACATCCAGTCATTTAATAAATCCACAAACAGAAATGTTTCCTGTTTTGATGTAGGCTGATCCGTGTCGACGTCCAATGAGAGGAGGTCTCTCTTAAAGTCTCCCTGAAGGTTGATGAGGACTAAAAAAAAGGACGCTTCAGACCTTTAATCCGGGCAGCGTGCACACTCCTTCTTTTCTTACTTTCAAAGAAACCAAATGAAACAGGCAAAGTGTTAGAGAGCGGTTCGATTGGTCGGGTCTGATGGTTTCCCAGCCTACCTCTCTGCTATGTTTGTTGTCATTCCACCGCCCGATGAATGTAGTTTTATACGTAGCGAGGAGGAAAACGGAGCGAGCGAGGAGTACAATCAGAGAGTGAGAGAGCGTGACTCAATCCAAAAGAAGAATCCAGATGTGTTTTCATGTAATCAGATGAGAATCAGAGTGCGGGGGGCGCCGTGGCGAGGACAGAGGGGGTTTTATTTCACAGATTTGTCACCCACACGTTCCAGTCGTCTGAGTTTTTGGTTTCTCCTCGGAGCCCCTCAAAGAAATGTACTCGAAGCTATGCATCCAAATGAAACAACACAGGTGTCTTTAGAAGCTGCCGCGGCGCTCCAGATGTTTGTGTTTGACCTGTGCTGTGCGACACATCTGGAGACGTTTGTGTAAATCCAGTGGTTTTAAAGCTGTTCAGTGTGTGTGTGTGTGTGTGTGTGTGTGTGTGTGTGTGTGCGTGCGTGTGCGTGCGTGTGTGAATGAAGGTGTGTAAACTGCGCTCTGTATGATATGATGTAAATATGGACGTTTTATAGCAGCAACATGAATATTCCTTTTGTATATGACTTTTAATAAAAACTGCTTTTCCCCAAACTTTTCTCTTTCATGTTTTTTTTTTTACTTTGTTGGTTTCTGATTCTGTGAAGGAAAATGTTCACACTTTATTTAAAGTTCATAATTTACCACTTAATAATAACTCATGTATACAACCCAATAATATTCTTTATATATACACATGTATATATAAATATATACACGAGGTCCTTAGAGGCAGGGTTGGTCATTTTCTAAAACTAGCATGATTTTGAAAGTAGCATTCCCTCAGTGCTCCGTCTGCACC